TGCCAGGGAGCAGGGTGGCTGCCTGTGCCAAAGAGCTAAAACGGGTACTACTAGCACCCAATGGGAGGAGTTACAACCTGGATACTCAAAGTAATGAAGAAAAAGGAATGAGAAAATGTCCTGAGACTCTGGAGCAGCAGGGGGCGGGGGGGGGGGGGGGGGGGTGACAGGGACAGATGGGGGGGGAAGAGTTTGAAAACCACTGGATTATAATTTTATGGTAGTATTATTTGATGGTCTGACTTAACAAGTCTTTCCAACTTTGGTTCCAAAGATTGTATGGATACTTCCCTATCTCACCCAGGTGTTTGAAGCTTAATTAATTAATGTTTGTAAAGAGCGTTACAATTTCCAGATGAAAGGTCCTATGCAAGTGCAATGTAGTATTACTCATTGAGGTGATTAGGTTAGAGAGTATCATGTTACACAATACATCTCTTCCCTCAATGATTTTAAGTGTTTGAAGTTCTGATAAAATGTGTTTATCACTAAGATAGATATAATGGAAATGCTCTTAAGGTGTGACCTGGATTATGAAACCAGAGGTATGGTTTTGGGAATGGAACAAACGAGAATTAAAACAACTCCCGAGGCCAGATTTGTCTACAGTTGTATAAAACGTATTCTGTTCTCCCTTTTTTTCCTCTTCCAGTAGGCTTTTCTTCTCCTCTAAAATAGAACCGGTTATTACGATGGGTGTGAGCAGACATGCAACAGTTCACGTTCAGTTCCTATTTCCATACTCATCCAACTCGACATTTTCTCATAACTTTCTCAAAATTATTTTCTGTTCTAATTTTTTTCTTTTTTAATGTTTGGATTAATCCTAAACTTTTTCTTTTTGGGAAGTTCTGGTTTAACCAGCAGTTAAATAGAATTAAATCAAAAGCTTGTGGACAATGCCAAACTGGAGAATGCAGTCAATATGCTTAAGACAGGGTTGGCATTCAAAGCTATTTAGATCTAAACAGGCTAAAGGCACAGGTCAGCATGAACTTCATGATGCTTCAATGATGATGACAGCTGCAAAGTCCTGAATCTGGAATGGACTGACCCCCCCCGCATCAGTACCACTTGGGGAATAGCTGCCTGGGCATCAGCTGTGCTGAAAGGGAGGTGGGGTCCTGGTGGTCAGAAAGCTAAACAGGAGTCAAGCAGTGTGCCATGGGTATCAACAGGAGTGCAGATCAAGGGAATTGCTTTATTCAGTGCTCGTCAGATCAGATCTGGAATATGGTGACCAGTTTTGACCCCTCCGTAGAAGAAAGATGAGGGGTAGATTGGAGGAAGCTTGAAACGGGGTCACCAGGGCGGTCAGTGGACTGAAGCACTTGAACTATGAGGAGAGGCTGACAGAGCAGGGCTTGTTCACCCTGGAGAACAGATGGCTTCAGAGGACTTAACAGCAATCTTCCCATACCTACAAGGAAGTTCCTGAGAAGACAGAAGCAGGCTCTTTAGTGAGATACACAGTGGAAAAACAAGAAACAATTGCCATGAACTGAAGGGAGGCTTCAACTGGATACAAGGAAAAAAAGATTTTGTGGCAGGTTGCCCAGAGAGACTGTGGAATCTCCATCTTTGAAGGTTTTCAAGACCCAATTGGAAAAAGCCTTGAGCAACCTGATCTGAAATTAGTGCCGACCCTGCTTTGAGCAAGAGGTTAGACTAGAGACCTCCTGAGCTCCCTTTCAATCTGATTCAATGGGAGGGGAGGAAAACCTTAGTTTGTGTTCAGGAATGGGCTTGGACTTTTGTGATTGAGTTGAGAGTTGAACAAGTTTTCTCAAAATTTGTTTGAAAAGTAACTTTACTCATTATTTGTCAAAAGACAATTGTTAATATGCCAACTGCCAGGTTCCATCTCTGTTCTTCCCTCATTTTCTAACAAACATACCATGATAAAAAACAACAGAGATTTGGGATGGCTTATAAATGAAGGCATTATTGCACCTAGAGGTCTCAGCTAAAGGAGGAAAAACCCCAGGGTTTTAATAATACCAGGTAATGAAGAACAATACACTTCAGTTTGTGCATTTTTACTTTTTAAAAAGAATCTGCATGTGCTGGTTTTGGCTGGGGTAGAGTTAACTTTCTTCACAGTAGCTGGTACGGAGCTGTGTTTTGGATCTGTGCTGGAAACAGTGTTGATAACACAGGGCTGCTTTCGTTACTGCTGAGCAGCGCTTACACAGAGTCAAGGCCTTTTCTGCTTCTCACCCCACCCCACCAGCGAGGAGGCTGGGGGGGCACAAGAAGCTGGGAGGGGACACAGCCAGGACAGCTGACCTCAACTGACCAAAGGGATATTCCAGACCATATGACGTCATGCTCAGCACGTAAAACTGGGGGAAGAAGAAGGAAAGGGGGCACATTCAGAGTGATGGCGTTTGTCTTTCCAAGTCACCATTACGTGTGATGGAGCCCTGCTTGCCTGGAGATGGCTGAGCACCTGCCTGCCCATGGGAACTGGTGAATTCCTTGCATTGCTTTGCTTGCGCGTGTGGCTTTTGCTTTACTTGTTAAACTGTCTTTATCTCAACACAAGTGTTTTCTCACTTTTAACTCTTCTGATTCTCTCCGCCATCCCACCAGGGAGAAATGAGCGAGTGACTGTGTGGGACTTAGTTGCCGGCTGGGGTTAAACCACTACACTGCATCAAGTTAAATTTGTGAATTGCTAAACCACATTATTCACTAACCCCAAATTTTAAAATACACCAAAAGCTTTCTTTAGCTGAGTCTTCTCATTTTTTATGATATTTAAGTAAAGGATTAATTTTCCATGAATGCTGTTTTTATTGTTAATGGCACTCTATTAATAGTCTTCTAGAGGGATATTGTTTTTCCTTGCATTTTTCTTATTCTCCAAAATTCTGCTATATTCCCAACAGGAGTTACATGCCTGAATAAATCAAGTAATTAAAAATGTAACAAAAGGACACCTGATACAACTCTGATCATTCTAAATATATCATCATATTTCTGATTTGTCTGGAAGCTGAATCAATAACTGACTAGGGATGTAAAGAAAACAGGTTTATTTAGGGGTCACATCTCAGTTTCCTCCTTTTTTCTGTCCTATGCTTCTCACCCTCCTTTCCACCCAAAAAGTTACAGAAATCTGTAAGAAGATCAAAATGGAGTAACGTAAAGAGATGAAAAATATTTAAGAGTTACTAATGACTGCGGACTCAAAAGGCACATCTTGCAAATCTGTTCCTTAATACTCTAAAGATGTTGAAGGCGTTCAAAAAAGACTGTATTAGAAAATGTATGAACATAAATGGACTTTCAGGAAACTAGAAATCTTAATAGTGACTAAACTGAAACAACATAAGGTTAAGAATAATGCAGACTCTAAAAATGCAGTAGAGTAGCTATATAGTTGGTAATAATACTGAGCAGTTTGGGGAGAAGGGTGTTTTCTACACTTTGTTCCAATGATTTTTGACAAAAAAGTAAATAAAACATCTAGTTCTCACTACAACTGCATGATATTAAAGGTAAAACTAAGAAAACATCTTCATGGAAAGAGCGTTCTGTGCATAACACGTTAATGGTAGTTAACGAACCCAAACCCACAGAAATCCCTTTGGACTGCTAACAAACACACACAGCTATTAATTAGGTCACAGTTGTTTCCTCACAAATCTTTTGTTCACTTTAGTTGTAGAAAACACCAACATATCCATTAGACCTGTGGGGAGGTATTCACCAATGAAGAAAATATTTATTTATTATATGTTAAATGCTTGCAATTACATGACTACTTATGGCAGTTCTGCTGGTTTCTCTCTTTGTAAGTAAACTATAATCACTCAGTTCACAATCTGTTCTACTCCTCAGAACACCACTCACCTCAGTAGATCCAATTGTTTCATTTTATGTACTTCAGGCAACCATTGTAGCTCAATCACAGATTTTAAAATGTTTTGAGCATCAAGTTAAAAAAACATGGAAAGAATTAACATGCTTCATTTTCACAAAGCAAAAGTTGAAGTAAGTATTTTTTTTTAAGGTTACCACTGAGAGGTGAAGGGTAATTTCTGCTTGAAGCCCAGCTAAATTTGAGTTCCGCTCATGAACATGGTGTGCCCACTGCGTCAGTTACTTCATTAACTGGCTGTGAAGAAAATATTTGCAAAGGGCTCCTGTTCCTACTGCAGAAAATTGCAAAACTGCAGGCTGCACATCATTTCAAGGACGGAAACCAGCCTGATTTCCTGAGAGCCTAGGGAAGACCGTTGCCTTTATGGAAATAATCAACAAGTATTTCCTAATTTCTATGTGTGCGCAATGCACCGTGGGGCAGACAAGATGCCAAGAGAGGGTATTTCACAGTGGCAGAGTATATCACTGCTCTTTTGGGAACAAAGATGGCAGAGGCTGCTGGATTGGTAGGGCTGCATCTTTTCTGTTTGAACCTCACTTTAGAAAGCTGGCCACGTTCATTACCTCACCAGTCTAGTTCCTCTTCTCCCACCACCACCCTTGCTCCAGGGCAGCTGCTCCCTCCTTACCTCCATGTTTCCTGCCCCAGAACCTCTACCACTTCCTCCTCACACATCCCACACCACGTACTATTGTCACTGCCTCCCTCAGCCCACCGAGACTGAATTAATAAACCTGACCGAATCCAGATGACTCTGTCCAGAGCCTCTTGGGCGTGTCTTCACAGGCTCCTAGTGCTGGCAGAGTTTATTTGCTCAGGTCTACTGCTGTGCCTCACCTGCAATGGGTTCATGCCTTGCAGGTTGGAAACCACAGGGCCAAACAATGTAAGAAGTTTTTTCAGGTCATTACTTCCAGTTTTATAAGTTGCCAATCACAGTAACTAGGATAGCTAGGTTAACCAGGATAAGTCTAAAGTACGACTTAAACCTCTGCCCACTTTTGGATCAAAATTAAGAAGAAAGAGTCAATAACATTATTATTCTTCAGGAAAAAAAAAAAACAAAACCAAAACAACAGGCATTTTAAGCCATTAGCTGTCTTACCATAATCCTGTCGCTGTCAATAATGGTGTTCAAGCGGTGTGCAATGGTCAGCACTGTGCAGTGAGCAAACTTTTCACGGATCGTCTTTTGAATGAACTCATCTGTTCTGAAACACAGCAAGGACAATGCAGACAAAAATAAGATGTTTGCACAGGTAACTGAATGGCAGACAGGTTTTGTGACTTCATTGAGCATGACTGTATAGCAAGAAATATGTTTATGAAGTCATTACAGTGCTTCTTCCTCTTGTTATATTAGATGACTTGGAGGCATATCATGAAACATACTCCAAAATCTATCCTATAATACTTGAGAAGGAAAACAGTTTCTTCTTGCAAGTAGAGCAATGGATTTAATTTCAGGAGACTAATTTCCCAGGCTTTGATTACAGAAAGAGGAAAATTCTGTGGAGTCAGATATTCCTACAGAATCCTACACAAAAAAAAGGTAATTGCTATTTTCTTTCAAGCTTTAGTTTGTGCACGCAGCAAAGAAAAGTTGGTGAAAGTGAATATCCTTCATCGCAAATCAACTGAAGAACGAACACAAGGCAGCCTGTAACTAAGGTACTTGATTTCAACTGCAAAAGGGGATTAAATAAAGGAGGTAGTTGCTACACTAAACTAGGACTGGAATAGCTCAAGAACTTGAATACAGAAAAAAGAAAACTTGGCATATTCTGTAAATCAAAAGTGTTAACTGGAACACACAACCCAAGGAAAGGGATAAAAGCTTTCAAGTTAAGAGCCTCAACCTACTATATGTATTAACCACCTAAGAAAAGGTTATCAGGAGGAAACATAAGACTTGTAAAGAATGAAAAGTAAGCTAGAGCACAGACACCAAAGTACAGAGTTAAAGTGGTAACTGTCACAAATAAAGCTGAGAAGCGTGAAAAGGAAATAAAATGATATCAAAAGGTATGTAAGACACTAAAATGTTCTTCAGCTGTATAAACAAGCGTTAAGGCAAAAAAGGTGCAATACTCATAAAACTGGAGATTATTCAGGTAACTGTGCAAGAGAAGCACTGACACCACCTAACTTAGAGTATACCACTGAGGCTTAAGTGTGGAAATCTATATAGTCCTCTCTTTAGTCAATGAAAGGCGAAATGCATGGCTGGAAGGTGAAATCGGAGCACCTGAATTAGGCAGCCATCCGGTGATGAATGCCCTCTAGAGGCACCTGACAGCCCACATTGCACAGGAAGCCTTGGCTCCCAACCTGGGCACAAAGCCAGGCCATGTGAATACTCACATAGTGCCTGTCAGCCTTTAAAAAAACCAGTAAGTGGTGACAATGGAGAAAAAGGTACAGAAACTAAAATTCTCACCCAAAATTAGAAGGAAGACACAGAGAACTCAAAATATACTGGGGTTAACTGGACCATGAAAGCTCCAGCCTAGAATTCAGGGACTTGAAGGCATGGGTCTCATTTCCAGGATTTCTATTAAAATACGAAATTGTACTTTTATATATAATGACTGGAGAATAATAAATGCTGTAAGTGGGGTTAAAAAAAGACAAAGGAGGTATCTGGATAAACTGGTATATTTGGGCAGCCGTGTTGGCTTCAATCAGTTGCTTGCAAAGCCTTAATTCTTCAAATAGTTAAAAGTAACTGGAAAATCAAATAAAATACAACGAAGATTCATGCAACACGTCTTCCTCTGACATATTATTTTTTTAGACAGAAGTACTACTCTACATTGAATCTGTCTGCACATGATGAATATGTGGTATCACTTCATAAATTAAGCAAAGAGAATTGTTCTGATGCCACCATGTCAGGAGGCTCTAACAATAAAAAGTGGACAAAGACAACTTGGGAAGCACAGGATGACTTAGAGAAATGGAGTAACCATTAAGTCTCTACAGTAGAAAGCACAAGCTCATGTTCTGAAGGACTGAAAATAACTTCTGTTACAAACTAAGTTTAAGCAATCAGCATGACAAAGGAATAGACAGATCCCAGGACAAGTCATCAGAGAGGAGGAAGAAATAAACAGTTGAGTTCCCACGCATGCTGACTGTCATCTTCATCTGGGGACAGAAACTTTTAAGCTCTGTCACAAGCTTAAGAGGACCGGGTTCTGGGCTGCAGTCTGAGAAAGCTTGCTCCTTCTGCTCCTACTTCCTAAAAGAAGCTTAAGAACATGGTGGGAAGCAGGTGTTCCTCAATTCCTCCTTTTGAACCAAGGTCAGTACACAATCAGGGAAGAGACAGCAGGAGAAGTCCGGACAGAGCCAGGCTCTTTAGCCCTGTGTATTAACAGTCTCCTTAAGAAAAGGAAGTCGTTAATCATTAATGCCCCACATCGCAGCAATACCAGCGCTTTCACCCTGGTGTTAATGCATGTATCTTTTTTTGCAGTCTTCTCAGCAATGCCTCAATGACCTGACAACCCTGACTTTCAAAAGAAAAAAAAATTAAGGCCATACATGAAAACACTCAGTAGGGAAGAGGCTTATATACACAGAGGGCTGCGTTCGCTGCAATGCTTAGAGATAGAGAAACAGAAACAAAAGGTTCAGTACTCTCTAGAAAATGTAAAGAAAGCCTTTTTCTTTGCTTATAGTCAAGCTCAAGGAGAGGTTTCCTACAGAGCTACTAAGAAGCACAGAAAACCATAGCTTACTCAGTACTTTTGAAAACAACTCTTTAAAGGGCTCAAAATGATTTGTAACTCTCAGGTTATTCCTACTGTTATCTGAGAAGAATGCCTCATCCTTGAACATCCCTGTCCTCTGCATTCATTTATTATATCTTCCTTTATTATATGCATTCCTTATAGCACCACCTCTTCCTACATTTACAATAGAAACCATTTCTCATTCTTATATAGATACTATCAAACTATTATCTTAAACAGGTATTTCTTGAATATAAGCTTATCCCCAATGAGAAACTGCTGGCCATACTGTGGGTGTGACAAATGTTCTAAAACAAGACTGCAAAGTAATCAGAAACAGACCTAGTAGCTCCATCTTCAAATATCACAGTATGAAACCCCATTGCAGCCATGCCCGCTGATAGGGACTTGACCTAATTCTCTATAAGGTTCATTGTAGATCTTGGAGTATAGTTTTTGGCGTGGCAGGCAGGGGCACCATCAGTAAGCTCCAGAAGAATCTTGTAAGTAAACATAAAAGACTGACTTACTTGCAAGTAAACATAAAAGACTAAGAAAAGATCTGTGTACAGAATTCCGTGCTGACAGAGTGCAGAAAGTATACTGTGTGCCAGTTAGAGCCATCTACCCTCTAGAAAAGTGCCAAAGGAAGCAGCACTTCTGTCCTTTTTTCAGGGCATAAATGGACCCTTTGTGGCACTCGCTCACACTGAGAAAGTCACCAGGCAAGTGCTAACTGATTCCATCACCCACCTCAGTGGATCAAACCCCATCATCTTTCAGGCACATTAGAAACCAAAGATGCAACCTGAATACCAAACCAGGGCTGCTGGATTACAAAAGCTCAACCCTAATCTGACTGTATGAAAATGGGAACCATGATAGTCCCTGTCACAAGGAACAGTACAATAAGAAATCACAAAATGGTGGTATAGCTGCCCCACCGGCACTGCGGGTTGAGGATCCACCACCAAGTTTCACAGCAACCCAAGATCTGGTGTAACCTGAATTAGCTGACTGTGTAAAAAAAAAAAAAAAAAAAAAAAAAAAAGAAGAATAACCACCAAACCCAAACCAAACCATCTATCTAAAGAGCAAGAATAAATACGACCTGAATAAGAAGCAACAAAGCTGCTGAAAGGAACACTGGATAAGTCATTATCTTCAGCCTAGTGTCCTCCTTGGATTGTCCTGGAAGCGTATCTCACACTACACAATTCCTGAGTGGCTTTGGATAATTTCTCCAAAAGAGAAACACTTACAGATAGCAGTTAGGTGTAACAAAAGGTTACACCTTACAAGGTTAAGATGGCTAATGAACCGAACTATGAGCAATGGCTGTTTTCACCAGACCATGTAAAAACATGGCAGTGGGCTGGTCCCAAAAAATCCTCTCCTCTACAAGCAGTAAAAATACAAGTTAACACATAATACTGTAGTCAGTGTGCAGTGCTTAGTAAGTTCGACTTACTCAATATTTAGAAAAAGTCTCACTTATTAAGGATTTTGCTTCAACATATCATCAAAGTGACTACAGAAAGATTTTCAGCTCTTCTGCTCCAGATTTCATACAACTTTCTGGAATGGTTCAACTGCTATAAAATGATTCCATTCTTCAGGGTAAGAATGCCAGCTTCAGGACCAAGAAGATAAGATCAAATTAAACATCTGTCAGTCATCACGTAAAGCATGCAAGCAGTCTGACTTAAGGCAACCTTCTTTACGGCAAGCTCCTCCTCTCCCTCACGACAGCGCCGACACCCCCGCAGCTCATGCAGAGCAGCTGGCAGCTATGAGGAGTAAGGGGAATAATAAGGGTACCTATGGGAGCTGGAGGATGTAGGAAGGAGGGAGAAAGGTGCACTCCAAACTCCTTCCCTTCACTCCTTTGCTCAGCTTCACTCAGCAGCAGACAAGAACAACCTAGCTGAGCTGGAGGAACATGGTGGGGAGTCCCTCAGCCCTGGGGAAGGTACACTGCACGCCTCCCACCCCGCTGCTGTATCCGATGCCCCGTGCCACCTCGCCTTTCCTTCTCCTCCTACCACCCCCAAACCCTGCCTCCTCACATTTGCTTCCAGATTGAACTGGAGAAGGGACACGGTTGCAGCAATGGTTGAGGCAAGGAGATCAAGAGCCAGAAAAAAAACAAAAAAAAGAAATAACATCTCCAGAGCCGGAGGCAGCTCCCCACGGCTTCCTATCCCAGGTGCTTGATACGATGTGTGCTTGCCGCCAGGCTAGAGACAAGGATGCCAGGTATGGGGGTTGTGCATCAGAAGAGAAGGAGGTTTTCCCTACCTGCCAAAAATGCCTCCCTAACTGCTCAGTTAAGCAACCCACATCAGCATTTCCTGATGAGCGTCCTATCAGATTTCACAGCTGAAAAATACTCGGCTCTAGTTATAGCAGCACATTAAGGAAAAGGTAATAATGACTGTAATGCAAACTGAATTCAAAGAAGAAGTTCCAAGTTATTATTTGTATTGTTATGCCTAGAGTTGATACAAACAAACATCTACCTTATTATAATATATATTGCAGCACACGTTAATCAAGATCAATTAAATGGATACTGTATAAGTTGAGAACACACACATGTGAGATGCCAAAATAGGGAGGATGAGTAAGATGGTATTAAATTTCCACAGCTATGATTAATCACAGTTAATCTATCAGAGCTCAGCCAAAAACAAAGTAATAGTCAAAAAAGAAAAAAAAAAAGGAAAAAAGAGAACCTCTGGGAAGGGAACGCACTTCTCTAAAGGTTTTAGAAAGACACTGTCAGCTGAACTGCAAAGCTACCCTAGTGGCACCACTTCTCCCCCAAGAAGATGTTATAAAAATGAGTCACGCCCAGATGACATACAAAATCCTTAATGCATCTGTTTGAGGGACTTGCTGTGTTATTGTCCTCTTTGGACTTTGAGTTCTCCCTCAAGCCATAGTTTGTTGGAACTATATATTCAGCTCAGACTAATTGATGCAGTACGTTTGCAGTATTGTTTCCAAAATATTTCCACCAGCGTTTCAAATGTTTCAAAAATTAACAGTGGGGGCACTTAGCTATTGGAACAATTTAACAAGGGTTGTCATTGATTTTTTTTTTTTCTATTGAGGTTGGATGTTCTTCTAAAAGTATACTCTAGTTCAAACAGGAATGAATTCAGGAAAGTTCTGCCGGCCTGAGTTATACAAGACAAAAATAATGAATGATAAATGAGTCCCTCCTGTAGCTTTAAACATCTCCAAATCTGTTTTGCAGTTCCTGTGGCGTTTAGGACAGCTTACCTTCCCCCCGACTCTATTTTATCTGTGACCTATTACATTGGCATCTGAGCCATCCGGTTTTGCTTACAGGCATTTTTTCACCTTTCTAGTTTTGGTTTCTTTTTTTTTTGGGGGGAGGGAAGATTAATTATTTAATTTTATTTATTTATTTATTTCCAAGAGGCGTTTCTTCCAGAAATCAACAGAACTCAACTTGTTTCATGGATATTCTGATGTTACTAATCTTCATTTCCAAGGATGTTCTTGTCTTCTTGTCCATGGCTGCAGGACAAATAAACTTTGAATATTGATTTCCCGACTCTATGGAATGCACTGAAATTTGGGACACTTTGAGTGCTTAGTTTATATTAACTGCTCTGTAGCCAAAGCTCAACCACCCCATTTTGAATAGACAGTTATGATGCTATCATTGAAAACATAAAACAGCAATACAAACTACAAGTAATATAAAGCATTTAAGTTCATCTCTACAGTAGAGATGATCACATTAGCAGAAAAAACAGCTCATCTTAACACGACAGATTATGTTTTTACCTTGGGTCCACATTTGCTGTTGCTTCATCGATGATACTAAAATTAGACCCAGATTCTGCCAGCTGAGTCTCCATTTTATTAGGTAGATCTTCTACAACCTCCTTCAGTTGCACCTGTTGACATGTCAACATACTGTAGGATGAGTAACTCTCTTTTAAATCAGCTATTGTGTGTCTGATGACACAACAATAAGTATGCAAGGTTTATCTTTTATATTCTGACACAAAATGAGTAAGTGCCAAGTTGGATTACACAGTGTGTCAGTTATTAGAATTCTAAAAACATTAAAGCACATTGTTAAGAATCTATTAATGTTCATTAAAACTAAGATATGAATCAAAATGTAACCAAAGCATCATCCCAAAGGATAATTTTTTCATAAAAGACTTATATAACAATATACATGCCTATACACACAGGCACAAACATACACATATATACAAACGCACACACAACGGTCTACCTTTCTCCATCAACAGCTATGCCCTTATCAAACCTGATGAAAAAATCTAAAACCTAACACACGCAAGCACTGTAGTGTTATTTGGCTGGGAAATATCAGATGTACATTATCAGATTTAATAAGTCACCTCTTCCAAGGCGTTCCACAGCTCTTCATCGGTGTATTCATTGAAAGGATCTAAGTTTTTCCTCATAGTTCCAGTGAATAAAACAGGCTCCTAAAACCCAGGAAAATTAGCATTCCATTATAAACATAGGGTTTATATTGCAATAGGTAACTTAATAGTAATCAGAACTAACCTATATCAACACTAGCACAGAAATATCCAACAGCAAGCTCTCTTTCATGAAATGCAAAGGAGCATTTCACTGTAGCATGCTTAAATGGGGGGATGGGGAAAGGCAAGTGTTCAACCAGTCTGTATGAAGATAATTTACCAAACAGGACAGGTCTGTTTGCAAATTGCTGCACACAGTTATGTCGGTTCTCAAACAGGCATTTACATGCCACTGTTTTGATGCCACAAGCTATATATATACTTACATGAAATCATTGCTATTCTCCTGGTACTATTAATGAAAACCAGCAAACTACCACTGTCAATGAACTCACACTCCTAAATTACGTTTGGGCAGTTTTGAAAATTTGGTTTTGAAGTAGATAAACCAGAGAGGAATCAAAGAGCTCACAATGCCTTTCTGGTTTTCCTTCTCTACTTGATTGTGTTTTGGTTTTGGTTCTTTTTTTCCATTTCATACCATAAAAGCCCTTCAATTTTACCACCAGAGCCTAAGAGGAACAGCTTTCACCATTTCAACCCAAGTTTAAAGCTATACACGCAAAAGTTAATCTATACTGCCACAGCATCAAAGGCAATTTACTTAGAACTGGAGCACTGCTGGGCAAAGCCCTAACTCAGAATACACCGGGGATTCAAATCACTACCTTCTCCCGTTCAGGTACCAATGTGGATTTACCTGTGGTCAAAGTAAGTTCTGTTCTACTCCAGTTCCCGGTCAGACCAGTAACAGATCATTAGTCAAACTGGCATAAATCAATTCACACTGGAAAATGTAGTGTTTGAGAAGCAGGAAGACAACTTTTGGTCCAGAACTCCTTAAGCAACTGATCAGTACTCAGTGCTGTGAGTTGCCAGACCCGAGTGTCATGCACTGACACGACTTTAGGGCTAAATTCCTCTTAATACCACACATAAACACAACAACAAGTGAAAAGCTGTAATAGTGCTAATCATAAATGGAGATCATTCATCATGTTGTCAGTCATCTTTAAATTGGAGAAATCTTATGCAAAATGTTTTCTTTTTTTCTCCCCTAGGAAATAAAGTCTAACTTATATTGGACAACTTCAGCTTACTCTAAGATTAACCTCTGCCGTCACTTGTGCTCCATCTAACTCTAGTGATGCCCAGCTCCAAAGGGCTGCAGCAAATCAGAGAGAATTTCAACCTTAACCCTTTTATTGTGGCTTCATTTCTAAACCACTCTGAGTGGTATAAAAGGATTAACAAAGACAGAACATGCCACAAGCAATGTAAAAGAATGTATGCATTTCTTGACATAACATGCCAATTCTTTGAAAGTATCTGTTGCATTAGCAACATGTCACTGGAAACCTGTTGAATGCACAAAAGGATTTTAAAAAAACATTAACAGGTTAAAGAACATTTTTCTTCAAAAACACCTAGAAAGCAATTTGTTTACCAATACACATTTTAATACACCATTTGGTGTGTTTTGAAGGTATTGTTACATTTATTTTCTTCTTCAATCCATTTTTATAGGTTGGCAAAATAAGAGGCTGAATTTATAAAGTGTTCATAACTATTATAAAAGTCCTAACAACAGACATGCACTGCAAGAGAAGATAAGGATATTTTTTAATTACCATTTCTGACACAGATTATTATTTAAAATAGTCTGGTTTATGAGAGGAAAGTAATAAGACAAACCTGTAAATAATTGTTGTAAAAATGCTTGCAGTCAGGGAGGCAGACAGCATTTGCATAGAAAGATTTACAAACACAACCTTCACACAGCTCCATCCAAGCAAGCAATTAGAAGCCTAAGCACATTTTTATTTCTCCAGGTAGGTATTTAAACTTACATATAAGAAAACTTCAGTCTTGCCTCATCACTCTCTAGGAATGGTTCTGTTTAGCATGTTTTATGTTATAATTTAAATAAGCAACTCTCCCTCTGGTTTCTTAGCTTCCCACATAATTATGAAGATACATGCTGCAAAATAACTACCTGATGTTACATTACTGTTTTTATTATTGACACTACTACTAACATAGTACAAGACAATGTCTATCACTCAGTTTACCTTATTCTAAACCTTCCTCCTCTTCTTACTACCACCACTTCATAGTTTTGCATACTTTTAGTGGAAACAAGTCTTCCCTTATGTGGAAAAGAAATGCTACCTGCTAGCCTTTGGACACTTAAAACCCTTTGGGACCCTGATGAAAACCCTGTCATATAAACTTGATAAAAGTCACAGAATTCAGCTGGATTAAAGTAGTTTTACAGTCATGTCAATAGACCAATGTATGAAAAAACCCACACATATAATTAAATGCAGCAAACTTTGAGCATCTGCATCACTCAACATGTGGAAACTGTACTTGACCAGCAGTTTTCCTGTCTCAGTACTCTATTTTATTGAACGGGGCTGAATTCTCCCAAACGTAGAAACCACCCACAGTATTTATGAGCAAGGCTTTCAAAAATCTGTAGACCTGGAATGAACTGATGATCATCTACTTTCAGGAGAAAAGAATGCTGCACACAAACAAAAAACAGAACTTAAATCCACATAAAGTCCTCTTTACATACAAAAGAGGACTAGTGCCAGTGAGTACCTCTGCTGTGCAGTAACAAAGCCTTCAGCATGCAGAAACAAAAGACATCCTGTATTAGGCAACAATCCAATTGCTGGGGGAGTGCCTCTTTTTTTTTTTTTTTTTTTTTTATTAAAAACTTAAAAAAAAAACGCTCTTCATTACCATTTTTATCAGATTCTCAGTTTAAAGAAAGTAATACACTCTGAATGCCATCCTGCCAACAGGCTAGCGAACATTCAGATATAAAGATGGTGTAAGGACTCTAAATGCAGCTTCTGTAATAAAATAGAGAGATCTGAGAATTAATGCTAACCATGGCAAACAAATTCCTCTGGTTTCCAGCCTCCTGTCCTATTTACCTGCTAGAATGTCCCAGACAAATTATTAGCCAAAACCATGACTTTTGCATTTGCAGCATATGAGCTTCTCCCGTTCCTCCCTCTCCAGTGGAGAGCAAAAGATCATGGAAGAGGTCAGAGCTCTCATGAAACATGGTAACCCGCATAGCCTCTGCCTTCAGGAAGTTCTGAAGTTATACAGAACCCTTCTCTGATTCAATGCTTCATTTGAAAATAAGACCGTAGAAGAGAAGATCTGTGACTCAGCTTCTAAAGCTCACCAAGTTCAGCTTCTAAAGCTCACCAAGCTTTTGTTTATGGATCATAATGACCCACTCTTCTGTCCGTTCCTTTGCTCTCCTCCTGTCCAGCCTTTGCCAAATAACGGAAAGGCTGGTAGCTCACTTCTAGTTGGCACATTTGCTTTCTAGATCTAGCCTCGGTCAGTTTGTACAGGGGTGACTACAGAAGTCGAAGTGGTCCCTTCAAAGTCCTTTACTAAGGAAGCTTCAGGCAACGCATCAGGCCTGAATTGCTGCCAAAGGATCAAGTGACTTCAAAGAACTGCTGAAGCTGGGTATAGTCCTTTCAGATTTTCTCTGCTCTTTCCCACACTGCTAACATCTACTCACAAGCATTCCAGAGGAACAGACAGGAGACAAAACTAGAAAGAAAATGCTCCTATCCCCAAAGCTGATTCTGTTTATCTTAAAATAATCAAGATCTTACTCAAATATGAATGATGCCTTGCTAAAGTTTCTATGTTTACCGCATACAGGGGTGCAGGGGGAACATATCCCAGCAAAACATTTTAAATACTACAGCATTATATTGAAAACATTTTTAGCAGACCAAGCCACTCTCTTACCTGAGGTATAATTGAAATTTTCTTCCGCAAGTCATGGAGTCCTAGCTCTGACGTCAAGTACTTATCAATCCAAATCTTGCCTTCGGGTTCCGCCAAGCGAAAGAGGGCTGCTATCAGAGAGCTTTTCCCAGCTCCAGTTCTTCCCACTATTCCAACCTACAGAGCAAGCCAAGCTTTACAATTAAACCATGAGCTGTTCAGGATAAATTAATATGTCAAGTAACAGTTTTACAGTATCACAAAATTTATAGCAGAACAAGCACCAAATAAAACTTCTTTATAATTAACATTTTTTCAAGAGGAAAAAACCTCCCCCCAAATCAGTTTCGATTCAGGTGACATTTGGATACCCAACAATTCCTTGGATCATATTAAAAGGTGAAAAATTTTCCCTTAATGTGTGGTGTTTTATTGTGTAAATAAGATAAAGTGGCTTGGTGTATAGAGTAATGTGATTCAATGCTGCTAATTTTTATACTAAACCTGGTTTGCTGGGTGATGTTAGGCAAATCATTTCAGGCATGCACCTACTTCCCAATCCAAAAAAGGACTCCCACAAAGCACTTTGGGAACAATGCATGAGCAGTATTCCCATTTTAAATAACTGAGACGGATTTTGGTTAGCATAGTTAGGGTGACGTACTTCAAAGTAGTCAAAGTAGCCAAAATAAAGCCAAAACTAGCAGGAGGATTATAAACTGTATTCATGCCTCAGACAGCTTCAAGAGAGTATTCACAAGTATTGAAAGAGTTCACAAATATTGAAACTACAAAGGCCTGTGAGCAAGCTGCAATTCCTTTCCAAACAGCAGAAACAGTGAATAATAAAGTCGCAGTGATTCAGGCTTCTGTATGTTCCCAAAGAAAAATCAGCAGCTGTATGCAATGTGAAAAAATAATGCTTCCAGAAAAAAAAGAGGTAGAGAAAACACAAAATATAGGATTGCTAACATTAATGACAAGGGGTTAAGACTTACAAATATTTCATATGAAACCAACACTTAGGAGAAAGTAGGCCCATTAATAAATGAGAGGAGACATATAATTAGTGGTGATTAAATAGCACTTGAACAGCAAACTTTTTTTTAACATGTTGTCTTCAGGTAAAGGATTCTTAGAGAAAACAATGTACAGTAATCAATTGTATCAGAGAAGGTGATGGGAGTAACCCTCTACACAGATCTGATCTGGCAGGATTTGTTATTTCCTGCATTCAGTTCTAATTATTACATTTCCAGAAAGAAATCAACACACTGGAAAGAGTTCAGAGAAGTGCAATATAAAATTAATATGGGTTGGAGATACTGATTTGATGAGGAAGGATTTATGAAGATTAAACATGTACAATATAGCCTGGTGAAGTGATTGGGGTGCAGAAGGGAGGAAGAAACATGAAAACCTTCATGAGTATACGTACAGACACCAGAGGGCAAATACCCACTGCCTGAGACTCAGATGTATGCAGTAATGACTGCTGGAATGAAATTAAGCACAGGAAACATTACATCGAAGAGCAAGGGGAGACTTTCTAACAGCCAGAGAGACTAAGCTCAGACAAAGCAGAAGTGCCCACACTTGATCAAGAATACACAAACCACTAAAAAAGCATACTGCAAGGAGCAACTTAGGCTGCATAATCTAAAAGGTATTTTCTACTTCTATTTTCCGACTCAACAATTTCATCCAGCAATTCATTATTGTGCTATTGTATATAAACTAATTAACATTTATACAGTGCTTATTATTAAAGATAATGCCTAATTTAAGCAAATCTGTTACAATAAATGATAAAATGTCTAGTATTCTAAATTATATCAGTGAAACAAAGGAAAATAGTTTTGAACAGTTACACTACCACTCAGAAAGAAAATGCTGAATGGAGAACACAGACACCCAGAGTTGTGAAAACAAAAGTTCAATTGTTTCTCTGTAAATGTCAGTGATATAAAGTATTGTATTAAGGATATAAAGAAAAAAAACATAAAAAATACATTGATACTTAAAATAAAAATGCAGCTGCTCTGCATATTGTCAAAATCCCACTTTCAGTTTGGCATCAAATGAAAGGACTGCGCTCTTCAGTATTTAGAGGAATCTATTTGTATTTTTGGTCCAATTGACTACAGGCTGCTGAAAATTGACATGAATTTGAAACAGCTCTCAGTATACACTTTTTTTTTTTTTTTTTTTTTTTAAATACATTGTATTCTTCAGAGGCCCATGTTCCTAGCCAGTGCAAATACAGCGACGGCCTGCAAATGCAAGTCCCAGCCACCTAACAGGAATCACATGGCCAGGATTTTGTTGCCCGATGTAAGCCATGTGCATAGACAGGAGTACACCTGCTACGCTGGGCTCATCGTTACTCAAGAGTCACTCGTACTTCAAAGCAGAGCTGCACAAAAAATGAGAGTGAGATTTACAGCGTGTCAGCTGCTCCACTGAAACTGCCCGTGTCTTTATTATCCCTCAGGCAACCTCCCTTTCGTGCTTACGCCGTGCGAGTATTTACGTGAACAGCTGCCATGCCGTAAATCCAGACCCTCACCCTCCCAACTTCTTCATGTAGCCGTACCCTCAGATTTAGGATCTGTCAGGACAAGGCACATTTAACAATATATTCGTCAATAAGCATTCATAGGCACCCTAAAACAAAGACAGTGGTGTTTAGAACCCAAGGCTGCACATGGTAACCTTCTCCTGCTGCAGGAGGAGAGGTTAATCACAGCCAGCTGCTGGCAGAGCTCCTTAGGTGAGCGCTCCCTGGTCTGTCTCTGGCAGACTATGCTATGTCAGCAAAGATGGTTAGAACAGAGGGTCCTTC